AGGGTGGATGGGGTATCACTTGAAAGCCTAAGGACGTCAGTTTTGCCATTGTTTCACCTGCAGCGTGTGTTGAGGTGTTGTCATGCAACAGGATGACACCTTTGGAGAGCTGTCCTCAATGTTTTTCCTTGATGTTTTGCCTCAACTTCATCAATAAAGCACAATAGTATTTTGCATTGATTGTTGAACCCTGTTGGAGGAAGTCCACCAGCAGAACTCCCTTCTTATTCCCCCCCCCCAAAAAAAACTGTTACCATTTGTTTCTGCACCAACCATTGTACTCAGAACTTCTTTGGCCTGGAGGAACCACTGTGCCTCCATTCCTTAGACTGTTCCCTTGTCTCAGGATCATAACAATAGATCCATGTCTCATCACCAGTTACCAGTTTTCCCAGGAAATCTGACTCATTTCTTGCAAAATGTTCCAAAACAGCCACTGATGACTCCACATGTTTCCTCTTTTGTTCAGTTGTCAAAAGTTTGGGGATCCACTTTGCTGCCAGCTTTCTCATTTCCAAGTCGTTGTGGATAATGGCACCAACTCTCTCACGTGATATTCTCAGATATATAGCAATACTTTTGGCTGATATTCGGCGGTCCTCCATGATCATGTCATGGATGGCTTTCACATTTGCAGGCACAGAGACAGAAACAGGCATTCCACTGGATTTCTCACTTTCAACACCAAAATGGCCAGTTTTAAAATTGACAACCCATTGTTTAACTGTTGCATATGAAGGGCCACTGTCACCCATAGTTTGTGACATCTCATCATGAATCTGCTTTGCACCATTCCCTTGGAGAAACAGGAACTTGATTATGGTCCTATGCTCTTCCACATTGAACTTTTCTGGAGGTGCTGCCATGTTCACTTTGGACCTGAACATGAAAGATAAGTTAAAATCATAGGCAGTTGATTTTTGCACCATTGAATACAGACAAATTGGCCAATACGCCATGCAATGTATAGCCTCCTAGCTCAATTTTTTTCTGGGTAAGGCTCAATACTTATCAGCACCCGCTACAGCAAATGTGTTTGTTTCTAAAAAATGTTGCTTCATCCCCTTATAACACCCAGACATGTTAGCAATGTTGTCATAAGACTGACCCCTACATTTTGAAAAGTTTAGCCTACAAATCAGATGTCACATAAGTACTGCAATACCTGATTTGGCATTTCCTCACCTTCCATATCCATATGTTTTAAGTACCTGTACAGTACCTAAGTGCAACACGTAACTGATCGATATGTGATAGATTTGGTATATATCCAAGATGCCTAATGTATATATTATAAAAATTGGAGAAGTGTGGTTTCTCACAAAGACTGTACCCAGTGAGGGTGAAAATAGATGATATATATATCTCCAAGATGCCTAATATATATATTATAAAAATCGGGGGATATATATATGAGGCATCTTGGATTTATTACTGACCCTCAGCTGTATTTTCAGTTGTATATACAATATATATATACAATATATATTGAAGCCAATAGCTTATACAGTGGTGCCTTGCTTAACGGGCGCCCCATTTAACAAAGAAATCACATAGCGACGAAGATTTTGCAATGTTTTAAATAGGGAAAAATCGCTTTGCGATGATGGGTACACTGTTTCGCTTACCGATCATCGCAAAGCAATGATTTTTTAACAGCTGATTGGCGGTTCCAAAATGGCGGCTGGGTAAAAAAAAATGGCCACCCGCTGTTTTCTGGGATGGATATCTCGCTTACCGGGCAGCGAAAATGGCTACCGTATGGAGGAGTTTTGGTTAAAGGTGAGTCTGAAGCCCATAGGAACGCATTGAAGGGTTTCAATGCATTCCTATGGACTTTTCCATTGAAGGGGTTTCAATGCATTCCTCTGGACTTTTCAAAATCGCATAGTGATGAAATCGCTTTGCAGCGATTTTTTGTGCACCGATTATCGTCGCTATGCGGGGCACCACTGTATGTGGTTATTTTTGCATCAAATCATAACCACAGTCCCCAAAGCTTATCAGCTTCCAAATTATACAAGCATTTTTTTAAATTGAAGGAACAGAAAAAAAATTCACAATAGCATTCCATTTGCAGAAAGCAATCAAAACCCTTTTTGTAAATCAGCTCAGTCTGATTTATTAGTCAGTTCCCTCAAGTCAGTGCTGGACAACTAGTGACCTCTGTTGGTGATTTTACTGGGTGAGAGGAGCCTGACAAAGAAAATTAAAAGCTATCCCTAGAGAATGAATCTGGAAAAAAAATAGGAGAAATTAATTCTCTATCATGTTATTTTCTGTCATCAGCTAGAGGAAAAGCCAGTTCCGCTATCCCACTTCTTTCATATAATGGAATTAGATCGTTCATATGCACAGATAAATAGAAATATGTATATATTTAAAACCCTGTGCATTATCTATATACAAGCAGAAGGATTTTTTTCCCTAGAGGCTGACAACATATTAGTAAACTCAAGAATATTATGCAGGATAACAAATCTCAAAAAATGTTACAAATGTATGGGATAGGAAACAGAAAGGTAAAATTAAATGGATATATACTAAATGCAGAAAACTCTGTTCCCCTTGGAAGTCAAAATAAAGAAGCATTAGCAGTCAAAGATGGTACAGTACTTAAGAGAAAGCAGTCTTGCCTCTGTTTGCACAGAACTGCACTGTGGTTGCAATATAAAAGTGGAGAATTTATGAGGAATGTAATGGGCAGGCAGATTTTCAGTTCCTCAAGGCACTTCAACAGTTGTGTGAGAGAAAAGCTGGTTCCAAGTTAATGTGCTACAAACTAGCTGTAGACTTTAAAAGCACGCCTGTCAGCTCTGTCTTTTCTTCTTCCAGCCACCACCGGTGTGCGCACAGGACTGCAGACAAGAATCCCCAAAAAGTGTTCCCATTTGGGTTTGCGCCTTTCTTCTTTAGCCAACGCGGGAGGGGGCGGCGGCAGGGAGACCGGAGCACGAGCACTTTTCTTTGAAACAAAGCCACATGGTGGAAATTTTTCAGGACTCACTGCCCACCTCAGTGCCTTATAAGTATGTGTGTGAAGCAAGTTTCTAAGAAGTGCACTTAAACCACTATTATGAATGACTCGGCTTCCGCCCCTTTGTTCTCCATACAGTTCTTTCTGAACAGAAACCTGAATTTCAGCAGTCGCTCCCCTTCATCTCTCCTGCCAGAGTTGTTCATTATTCATAGTACGGGGCGTGTCCTAAGCAGAGGCTCTATATAGGCAAGCACTTCGGCCGGATGAGAGACCAGATGGAACAAAGTTAAAGACCACAGAAGGAGGTTACAGGCAACAAAGAGATTTAAACGACAAAAAAAGAGAGAAGGGAACTTTCATCTTCTTTAACCGATTGTTATTTTGCGTCCCTTATTGTCTTCTTCCTTTCTTCCTCAGCTCTTTGGACTTTCTTCCTAGTCCATATTTAACTTACGGTTTGGGGGTGTGCTTTTTTTGGTGGTGGTGGTGGATTAAAAAAAATTATATTGCAAAAAAAATTCTCAGTGAGCAATTTAGCAACTTTGAAAAGAGAGGCAAAACCTAGGTGTTTAAATATACAAGATCTCCACTTTAACGATTATATTCGTATTAAAAGAGAAAATAGGCTAGACCCCCGCGGTTTGCTTCAGGTTTCTGAAGGGGTTTCCTCCTGTCCTGGCTTGCTCCTGTGCATTATTGTGTGGGAAAGAGTGCGTGTAAGTGACGGAAAGAAGAGGGGAGGGAAGCTGTTCTTGAATCTCGTGGAGAAAAGGAAGGGTGTGTTAGACCTCCTTCCCTCCACATTTCTTTTTTTTTTTTAAAGCACCTATTAATGCACCCTCAGCGTGTGCAAGTACCTGTGACTCTTGTCCTCCGGTCTTTTCCTCCCCTCCCGGGCAGGCTGTGAAGGAGTTGAGGTCTCTTTCCCCCTCCCCGCACTTTCGAAGTGTGTGTGTGTGAGAGTGAGAGAGAGAGACTGTGGTGTTCCCTTTCCGTCTTGGGGTGTCCGTGTTTGCCGGTCCTTGCCTTCTGCACGAAGGGTGCCCGCCCCCCTTTGGAAGGAGGCGAGCTGCCACACCGCGCCTTCTGCCCGCTCTAGGCTCTTCTCCCTGCCTGCCGCTCCTTTTTTCCCCTCTCTTCGCCGCCCCCCCCCCGTCCCCGTTGCTATGGTGTCGCGGTTCTACGTGCTGCTGTGTGCAGTGGCGGCGGCGCTGCTGAGCCGGTTGGCGGCGGCGGCGGCGCTGGGGCCGGTGGTGCGTTGCGAGCCCTGCGATTCCCGGGCGCTGGAGCAGTGCAAGCCGCTCGCGCCCGATTGTCCGGAGCTGGTGCGGGAGCCGGGATGCGGGTGCTGCCTAACGTGCGCCTTACAGGAAGGGCGGCCCTGCGGCGTGTACACCGAGCGTTGCGGCGCCGGGCTGAGTTGCCGGCCCCGAGGCGACGAGAAGAAACCTCTGCAAGCGCTCCTCGAGGGCAAGGGGCTCTGCGCCAACGTCAGCGGCGGCGCGGCGGTGGCGGGAGGAGGTGGCAGCAGCGGCGGAGCCTCTGCCAGCAGCAAGTTCCGCGAGCTCATTCTGCGGGGCGCCCGGCGACCAGGTAAGGAGACGGAAAGGAACGGAAGGGGAGAAGGGCGGGAGCGAAGCCTGGCGCTGGGCGCGTCTCCCTCCACTTTTGTAGTTCCCAAGCGCCCGAGGAGCCGGGGGTGTGCATGCGCCTGTATGGTGTTGGAGAACTGGCTCACGCCAGGCCTTCCCTCAGCCCTCAGCAACCCTAGCCGGTTGGGACTGTGCTCGTCCCAGTGGCCTAGTTCTACTACTATCTCTTTGAAGAAGTAAGGGCGGCAGCAGCAGCAGCATATGAGAGGGAGGTGTGTGTAGACACTCACGTTGGCTGCATGCATGAGTTAAATGGGAAGAGAAAGGATAGACTTGCTTGAGGGAAATGCTCTTTGTGAAACCTGAAGTGAGGCGTGCGTGTGGATTTGTGAAGTAGCTTGTGCAATATAGGACCTTATGGCTGTGGTGATGATCGTGGATAAACTGGATCTCTTAGTGCTCCCCTAGGCAAGGACGCCTGCCTAAATTATGTGGAAAAATGTAACAGACGAGGACTGAATGTATTGTGGAGAACCTCTTATACATTTTCTTAATTCCCAATTCATGGAGGCTGCTGGTGCGCATTTGTGCTGCTACAGATGTGTGATTATATGTTCCTGGTTTTTTTTCTGCATGTTCAAAATCTACTGTGCAGAAAGGACAGTCTCTCCATATGAAACATCCAGGCACAGGCGGATGGATGTTCTGTGTGCAGATCATGCTTTTGTTTGAAAGTCTCTTCTCGCCAGAACCAGTAAAGTCACTTTACTACAGAAATCCCTGTTTCACAGACTCTTTTGCGCAAGCATTATCTTTCAGTTTGTGTATGTAAGAGACTTCATGTGCCCTGTTGAGCTTTATATCTGGGGAGGGGGGGAATCAGATTTGTGGATATGTCAAATTTCCTTTATGACTTTAATAGCTTTTATGCATACAGAATCAGTAATTTCTAGAATGCAGTTTTACGTTGTCATTCCACACATTTTCAGACTGTTCTATAACATTTTAAATCTTCATAATGTTCAGTATGTCATTTCCTGTATTATTTCAGACCCGGTTCAGAGCATCTTAATTTTACTTAGATGATCCTGCTCTCTGATTTCATTTTTGTTAATTTCTAAAATATTTTGGCAATACTATTATTTTGATGTATATGTATTTCCAAAACTTTTAACTTTGATGCAGTTTGGAACTGTATTAATGATTTAAAATATCTCATATTTGTAGAATGAAAAAGACTGAAGAAAAGTCAAATAGTTTAAATAAGAGGTTCTTTTCATAACAGATGCATTAGTGTACGGTTGTACCAAGAAACAGAATTACTCAATTTTATGTTAAAAATTGTTAACAATTTTATATGTAGGGAAGCTGTAAAGCATCTTAGTTATAAATATTTTAAAGGAAAGGACTTAAATATTGCTCATGCCTCAAAACTGCTTTGCATAGAAGCTTTCCCAAATGAAGTAAGAGTTTAAGAAATCTGTATAGGTCTCTTCAGCAGCAGCAGGCTTGAACAGTTTGTTTGGAAACACACAAATTAAATTGGTCATCCCAGCTAGAGCAGACTGACTGAATCAATACATTTTCCATAAGACTGGCTTATTCAGCACTTAATTCAGTGGATCTCCTCTATTTGGAACAACCAGATGGATTTAGGCATACATCTTAGATGCTGGGTGGAGAAAGGGGAGGGGAATTCTCCACTGATATTTCAGAAACATGAAACTTGGGTAAAGACAATGGGCTGTGTAGTTTATCATGGTCACATATATTAAGAAGTGAGCCCCCGTGGAATTTGAATTAAGAACATGCCTAGAATTGCAGATGTAGTTTGTTTGGAAAGTATAATGTGATGAAAATGATAGTGTAGATTCCCCCCCCCCAACTGTAGTTGTGTTACTAGTTATGTTAGAAGGATCTAATCAAAAGAAACCTCTGGTTTTTTTCTGTTTTAAAATTTCCACTGCCCTGTGTGCATCTCCAAGGTGATATGCCTGAGAAATCCAGTGTTTACAGATACAGTGCAATTATTAATTGGTCTTAGCAAACTGAAACTACTTCTTTATACATACATTTTTTACAACTCTGCAGAAAATTGGGATTCAGGATTTGAAAAAAAAATGTTGCATAGTTTAGCCACATTGAGAAAGATAACATTTAATTGTGTACCAGTTGTAAAAAATCAAACAAACTAGATTTATTATTCTCGTTGATAATGTGTCAAAATACATATTCCTGCACAGAAATGCAGGAAGATGACCTTGGCTGTTCAATCCAGAGCATCTGGATGTATATAATTGGGGAGAAAAACAAAAGGAATGTGGCAGCTGGGATCTACTACTGATAACAATGAGAAGATGCAGATGAAACCTTTGAAAGATTACAAGAATTTCAGAAAGACTGCAATGTGGTCAGGAAATCATAACAGGAAAAGGAGTCCAAGATGGGTGGGAGTTTCTTAAAAAGGGAATCCTAAAGGCACAAATTCAAACAATTCCACCAAGGAAAAGAAAAGGTGGAAGAGAGCAAAAACGATCAATATGGCTTCACAAAAAACTCAGAGAGCATCTGAAAATTAAAAATAGGACACATCTAGGAAGTGTAAGGAAGACCAGGCCATGAAGAAAGAATACAGACAAGTAGCAAAGAATTGCAGGGATAGTGTTAGGAAGTAAAAAGATTAGAATGAATTGAGGTTACCAAGAGGCACTAAAAGCAACAAAAAACTGATTCTTCAGGTACATGTGCAGCAAAAGACAAAAAAGAAATAGTGCCACAGTGGGGATAAAAAAATCATTACAGATGACAAAGAAAAAGCAGAAGTGAGTGTTCAGCTGCTACTTCAGTTCGGCCCTTTTCCCAAAGGCAGTCCATAACCCTCCAGGCAAATGTAAAGTACAAGTGGATGGGACAAGATTAGTGCTTGAGATTGATAAACAGAATGCTTTATTAGTTTGAACAAGTTCAAATCTCCAGGGCCAGATGAACTGGCTGAAGAACTGTTAAAACAACTGTCTGTTATTTTCTTGAAATCATGGAGGATTGGTGAAGTGTCAGATGATTGGAGGTGTGCAAATGTCCCTGGGATTCCCAGTGTGATGTGGTAGAGCAGGGGTCTCAAACTCAATTTACCTGGGGGCCACTGGAGGCAGAGTCTGGGTGAGGCTGGGCCACATCAGATTTTCTGCCAAGCAGAGCAAGAGCCCGATGAAGCCGCCCAGGAGTTCTCTTAGTCTGGCTGGGCTCCAAGGAGGAGGGCGCAAACCCTCGTCGCTGACGACAACCCCCTCCTAAGGAGGAGGGCGCAAACCCTCGTCGCTGACCACGACCCCCTCCTACTCCTTCTTCACTGCCAGCAGCAGCAACAGCAGGACGAAGATGCAGAGAAGGGAGGGAGAGCCGGCAACTGCCTAGTGGGGGGCGGGAGGAGGGCACGACATAAATTTAAAAAAAATACCCTCACAGAATCGCCTTGCCAAAGGAGAAAAGCCCCCATCAGTTCCCATGAAATGGAATAGGAGCGGGGGGACAGGTGTGCGTGTGCATGCATGCACACTCACAAACACACAAACATACACAGGTCTGGCAACCTTCCTCTGATGGCTGAGAAAAGCCCCCATCAGTACCCATGAAATGGAATAGAATGGAGCAGGGGGGCAGGTGCACGTGTGCATGCACGCTCACAAACACACAAACACACACGGAGGTCTGGCAACCTTCCTCTGGGGTCTCCCCTCAGCCTCCAGAGTCGAGGTGGCTGAAGCAGGACGAAGAGGAGGAGGAGGAGGAGGAGGAGGAAGCACCACCGAGTGCTGAGATGGCAGCTGGCCGGGCTGGTGCTGGCGGTGCCAAGAGAGAAAGAGAGCCAGAGAGCCGCTTCCCTGGAATAGGCGTCGGCGGCAGCTGCTGTTGGCGTGGTCGTTGGAGGCGCTCTTCAAGGACAGGCCGGGAGTGAGCTCCGCTCTCAGGCATCACTCAGCGGCAGCTCAGGCACTCAGGGAAAAGGGCCGACAGTGTGCCTCGCTCACCGGCTCTCCCCCAAGACAGCGCCTCTTGCATCCTCCATCCGGAACTGCAGCCTGCCAGCCGGCAGACAGGTGGGCTGGCTGGCAGGCTGCAGTTCCAGATGGAGGGTGCAAGAGTCGCTGTCTTGGGGGACAGCCAGTGGGCAGGGTGAGGCTTTTTTTTGACTCTTGAAAGCAGAGGGTGCATGGGTGCTTTGGGGGGGCAGGCAAGGCGGGGGCACTATCATCCAGCAGGCTGCAAATGGCCCCCATAACGCATGTTTGAGACCTCTGTGATAGATGAACTAGGACTTTGAAGAACAGAGTTCAAGTCTCCATCACTATAGAAACTCACTGAGGGAGTGGAACTGGTAGAACGACTTAAGTATTTTCCTTACCTTGAAATGGACTCAAGTTACAGGAAGCCAGAGTTAGGCTATCAGAAAAAAGTTAACTGTTAGGGCAGTACAACAGTGGAACCAGTTATCCTGGGAGGTGGTGAGTGCTCCAGCATTGGAGGTATTCAAGAGAAAATTGGACAACTATCTGTTAGATCTGCTTTGATTTGGATTCTGCATTGAACGGGGGGTGGGATATAGGCCTGTTCCAACTCAATTATCCTGTGATTTACTGAAAGCCTTATTAGGGTTGCTGTAAGTAAGTTCTGATTTGACAGCACAGAACACATAAACATAACATTGTCCCTATCTTTAAAAAAGGCAAAAAGTAGGAACCTGATGTTACTCTGAGGGAATTTCCTGGAGCAGATTATAAAGGGGTCACTCTGCAAGCACCTTGAAAGCTATGTAATAATAGCTGGAAGCCAACACAGATTTGTCAGGAAAAAAAATCCTCATTTTTGATTGGTTATCCTCCCTGGTAAATGATGGGAATGCAATAGGTGTAATACACCTTAACTTCAGCAAAGCTTTTGACAAAGGGCACCATGATATTCTAATTATCAAGATAACTAGATGTGGGCTGGGTAGAACACCTG